GGACCCAGGAGCAGCTGCCACCGGAGCCACAGAAGCAGACCCAGGAGGAGTGGACCCGGGAGCAGCTGCCACCGGAGCCACAGCAGCCACAGGCCTTGGAGCAGCCGGACGGGCAGCCGCCGACACAGCCTCAGCGAGAGCCTCGGCCGGTGAGACGTCCCGCGGGGACCTCAACCCATCGTACTTCACTCTGGGGACCTGGGCTCCCCTAGGGTGGAAGGAAGGAGCCCAGGCGGGGGTTTGCCTCCATGGGCTTGGCGTGTTGCGGGAGGGACCCCGCTGAGCTGGCCGTGCACCTTAATGCTGCCCACAGGGCCCTGGGCTGGGACCCGGTGGAGAGGGAGGGCCCGGGTCCCCCTACTACACCGACCTGACAGCAACCCTGCTCCCAGGCCGTTGGGAAGTCTGCCGTAGAGTCAGACCCTGTTAGGTCAATTGTGCTCTCAGGAGGGAGCAGCGTTTGGAACTAGGCCTCTCAGGCCAGATATACCCTAGTAGAGGGGATTCAGATGTTGGACTAGGCCATAGGGGCTGTATACGTCCTGGTAGAGTGGTAAGTACTTTCGGTGCAGAGTCAAAGGACCGTAAATGCCCTGATAGAGGGGCAGGTATTCAGGCAGAGGGCCTCAAAGATACTTATAATATCGTGGGGGTATGCGCCCCTTTCCCCCCCCTCCCTCCCCGACAGAGCTAGCTAAGTGTTCTCTTTTATTTTAAATTTGTTATTTTCTTTGCCTTTTTCACTTATAACCACTTAAATCCTACTGCTTGTACTTAATAACATTATTTTTGTTTACTATCAAGCCCAGTGTACATAATTGTTACCTGGGGGAGCCATCAGTGTGTACATCCTCCTTTCATTGTTAAAGGCGGCTCACCTGAATGTGCTTTCAACGTGTGATACTCTTACACAGTGAACGATGGATTTATTTGGGGTTCTGTTCCCATTTGAGGGTTGGTTTCCTGGATGCTGAGACTGCATTGTTATAAGGGGGAGGGAGAAAAATTGTTCTTAACCACTGAGGATAGATAAGAAACACCAGGCTTAAATTGCTGCAAGGAAGGTTTAGGTTGGACACTAGGAAAAACTTCCTGCCTTCAGGGTGGTTAAATTGCCTAGGGAAGTTGTTGGAGCTCAGTGGAGAGTTTTATGAGCTTAAAACAAACACCTGTCAGGAATGGCCTAGTTAATAATTAGGCCTTGTTTATCCTCACAAGTTACAGGGCAGTTCATCAGCTCCCAGGGCTGTAACTCCTGAGGTGTCTATGATGGCAAGGCACTTAGAATCGTAGAATCCTAGGGCTGGCAGAGACCTCAGGAGTCATTGAGTTCAGCCCCCTGACCAAAGCAGGACCAACCCCAACTCAATCAGCCCAGCCAGGGCCTTGTCAGTGTGGGATTTAAAAACCTCTGAGGATGGAGATTCCACCCCCTCCCTAAGGACCCTATTCTGGTGCTTCACCATCCTCCTAGGGAAATAGTTTTCCCTAATATCCAACTTACACCTCCCCCACAGCAACTTGAGACCATTGCTCCTCGGACTGCCATTGGTCACCGCTGCGAACAGCCTCTCTTCATCCTCTTTGGAACCCCCCTTCAGGGAGTTGAAGGCTGCTGTCAAATCCCCCCTCACTCTTCCCTTCTGCAAACTAAACAAGCCCAAATCCCTCAGCCTCTCCTTGTAAGTCATGTGCTCCAGCCCCCTAATCATTTTGGTTGCCCTCCGGTGGACTTTCTCCAATGTGTCCGCATCTTTTCTATAATGGTTGGACACAATACTCCACATGTGGCCTTGCCAGTGCTGAATAAAGGGGAATAACCACTTCTCTAGATCTGCTGGCAATGCTCTTCCTAATGCAGCCGACTGTAACATTAGCCTTCTTGGCTGCAAGGGCACACTGTTGACTCATATCCAGCTTCTCATCCACTGTAATCCCCAGTTCCTTTTCTGCCAAAGTGCACACCAACTCCACAGTTGTTGCGCTCTAGTTAAACCACCTTGATAAGAGGCATAGAGCTTTCTGCACTATGGCTACAGCCTTGGGGTGTCAGGTAAATACTTCATTTGTTTTTCTGCATAGGAACAGGCCTCTAGAAATGTCCCATAATCCCTCAAGTGGCCACTCTGCTCATTGTTTTGAACTTGGTTGTCTGCCCTGCAGGCATATGCATATCCTCCTTCAAAGTTCTGGTTCAGAAGCCTGCTGATCTGCTGTGGATCAAAGAGCAAGCCATTCAATGGAATGCTCGTGCTGCTGTACACAGAGACGTGTGTGTGTGTGTGTGTGTGTGTGTTTGCTGTGCAGCTGTCTGAAGACAGCAGGCTGATGTTCCCCAAAACACTGTCTTTCCCCGCTCATACACACACATGCTCCCTGTCACACACTCTTCCCCTGTCCCCCTCCCTTACACACACACACACACTTCAGTTGAAAAGCATCTGTCAATGTAGTGAGATTGGGAAACTTGCATCATGTGACACCGCCTGCCCCATGCGGCATTGCAAACCCTTCCCAAAGCACTCTGTGTCTAGGTGCACAGTGGGATAGCTGCCACAATGCACTGCTGTCTGCACCATTACAAAAGCTGCTAATGTGGATGCACACCACCATCACAAGGGGCAAAGTGTGGAAATACAACAGCAGCTTCCTGCAGTGCTCTGTGAGCAGAACTGTAACTGCCAGCGCTGTACATCTGCCAGTGTAGACATACCCTGAGTCCTGCCACGAGTGCAGGGAACCGGACTAGATGACATCTCAATTGCATAGGCACCGACTCCATGGATGATCCAGAGCTGGAGCTTGCATAGGGGAAAATTAGCAGTGCTCCTCACCCCTGGGTAGCCAAGCTTCCCCCTTCCCCCAGCGCCTCTCGCCCACTGGTGATACTGTTATACAACTCTTCCTCTTCCCTTACAGTATCTCTCACCCCCCACAAACAGCTGTTCTGCAGCATTTGGGATGCTCTGGGAGGCAGGAGCAGAGACACAGCATGCCCAGAGAAGGAAGCAGGGCAGGGGACTTGGAGGCTGTGGTGGAATGGACATGGTGGGAGGGGCACAGGGGCAAGAAGAGGCAGGGCAAGGACAGGGGTAGGGGGTGTGTGTCAAGCTCCCCCAACTAAAAGGAAAGTCAGCGCCTATGTCTCAAGGTCCCTGTCAGGCCTTTGGTTCTAAATTCAGAAACTTCCTTTTGCATTTTGATCTGACTTTAGTCTATTAACTTTAGTTACATCTTGGAGGTAACAAAAACACCTATTTTTAATTTTACTTACAGTGGCTTTAGAATCTGTGGCCTTGAGTAAATCTTTCTAAAAGGAACACAGGAAAACAAAAATTATTTCAAGGAACGATTTTCATAGCTCTTCAAAAAGCCTTTGACAGTTTACAGATAAAGATTCCCACCACTCACTGATTCCCACCAATTGGTGGGAGTGACCCAAACCAGTGAATACGCCATTACAGAGACCCCATTCAGTAATCCTCACGTGATCTTCACAAATGACACATGCATACACATGGGATAATCTTATTCAGTAGATGAGAACCTTTCCAACGAAATGTTATGTGAGGCATCTTGCATAAAGCTCATTTCAGTTGTGACACACTCATTTCATAATCGTGTGTCCAGGAAGTTTATGGAAAGCCCTGTCACAGCCTCTTTGTTATTTGAAGTCCTCACTCAGCGCTGAAATCAGTTGTGAGAGGACTGTCTTTCTGCCCTGCCTGCTAAGAAGTTAAAATTCAGCTGACAGCTAAAACTAGGTGAGATGGGGCACTGTTTCTGCCCAGCCTGCAAAGAGATGAAAGTTACAAAGAGACTGATGTGCAGAGGTCACAGCAGAGAGGCAGGTGGTAGCAGGTGACTGACAGTCGGCTGGCAAACAAGTGACTGAGGGTATGTCTATACTACCCCGCTAGTTCGAACTAGAGGGGTAATGTATGCATACCGAACTTGCTAATGAAGCCCGGGATTTGAATTTCCCGGGCTTCATTAGCATAAAGCTGGCGCCGCCATTTTTAAAAGCCGGCTAGTGCGAACCCCATGCCGCGCGGCTACACGCGGCACGGGCTAGATAGTTCGAACTACGTAGCCATTCCGAACTATCTGTACTCCTCATGGAACGAACTAGCGGGGTAGTGTAGACATACCCCGTGTAATTAGCAAAGAGGGGCCGTGAGCGAGTGCCCGAGCAGCAGGAGGAATAAGGTGCCTCTTTACACCCCGCTTCACCCAGAGTGGGAAGTGAACTCTGTAGCTGCACCTCTGAACATTAGCTCTGCATTGGCCAAGCAATGCTGACCAGCAACTGTGAGTGGGGTGCAGAGAGGGTCAGGCATGTGAAAGGGTTTGGGTGGCTGGATTTAAGAACCTGAGAGGAAAAGGACACCCCCCCAGCCTACTTGGGGATGGCTCTTTTGCTCATGGTTTATGTTTATGAACTTTCTTGCTTCGGTGTTTTCTGAAATTAATGCCAAGTGACTCCCCTTCTTTTACTAAAAGTTTCTTTCCCACACTCAGGCTCTGTGCTTGCGAGTGGGGAAGGATTGACTCTCTGTGGTGCCTGGGTGTCGTATGTACATTTTACAGCTTAGTAGGTGGGGGCCTGAGCCAGTTTTGTGTTGCATCGATGGAAAGGAAACCCTCTGTTATGCACCCAGCCCTGGTTGCTGCTGCTCCACCTGGCAGAAGGGTTATGCTAACATGGCTTGTGATGGTGTGTCAAGATCTTTGCAAAGTACAGCTCCAAAGGATCGGCATGACAACAGGTGCAACTCAGCTCTTCATCTGTGGCTGCTGGTGTCATTAGAAGGTTGGTAGATGATGTGGACACAGGGAAGGGCCTTGCAGAGCCAGTTTACAGAACTAGGTACAGGTCTTAGGAGAAATGCTCAGTAAGCATAGCTCCACTGAAGTCAGTGAGTGCACTGATTTATACCAGCTGCGAACCTGCTCCCTTCATGTATCTAATTCAGAAAAAGATAAACACGATGATGGAACATCCCTTCTTTCTCATAAAACGAGGTTTACAGGCATGCCGAAAAAGTGTGTATGAACTTCTGAAAACATTTTGGAAGAGCAGATGCATTCCCTGGATGCAACAGAGTTTTTCTGGTATACCTCCGGTTTCCCGGAAAAACATACCCAGAATCAGCAAAGCATAAGCTTTCAATAGATCCCTCACTTGACACAGTTTGTACAAAACTTGGGGCAAACACACAACAATGGATGGAACAGCATTCTGCATATTCATATTAAAATCTGATAACATCACACAGGGCTCTTAGGGTATGTCTACACCAGCCCCCTAGTTCAAACTAGGGAGGCTAATGTAGGCATTCGAAGTTGCAAATGAAGCCCGGGATTTAAATATCCTGGGGTTTATTTGCATCTTCCCATCCGGGCGCCATTTTTAAATCCCCTTAGTCCGAACTAACTGCCCATGGCTACATGCGGCAGTTAAATGTTAATTCGAACCAAGTCCTTTAAAAATGGCTCCCGGATGGGAAGATGCAAATAAAGCCCGGGATATTTAAATCCCGGGCTTCATTTGCAACTTCGAATGCCTACATTAGCCTCCCTAGTTTGAACTAGGGGGCTGGTGTAGACATACCCTAAGAGCCCTGTGTGATGTTATCAGATTTTAATATGAATATGCAGAATGCTGTTCCATCCATTGTTGTGTGTTTGCCCCAAGTTTTGTACAAACTGTGTCAAGTGAGGGATCTATTGAAAGCTTATGCTTTGCTGATTCTGGGTATGTTTTTCCGGGAAACCGGAGGTATACCAGAAAAACTCTGTTGCATCCAGGGAATGCATCTGCTCTTCCAAAATGTTTTCAGAAGTTCATACACACTTTTTCGGCATGCCTGTAAACCTCGTTTTATGAGAAAGAAGGGATGTTCCAAAAAAGGGTTTGTTTCTGACATTTGGCCCAGTGTAGATGGGCCAAATGTCGGAAAAGCCTCTTCCGAAAAAGGAAGCGGAAAAAGCGACACAAATTGAGGTTCGCAATTTGCATAGCTTTTCCAGAAGCGGAGTGCAGTGTAGACATAGCCTCTGTTTATACCATCCAGATGCATGGATGATTTTTAAGGTGGCATTTCCAAAGAGCAGTGCAATGTAGACCCTGGGATCAGCTGGGCATTCCAAGGGGCAGCACTGCATGGAACCCGGGGTCAACTGGGGACTCTAGCTGATCCCGGGCTCCATGCAGCGCTGCCCCGTTCAAGTGGCACGGCAGCATTTCAAAGGAGAGGCGCACGCGATTAATAACACGATTAATCACAGTTAAATTTTGTAATCACTTTACAGTCTTAGATTTTTACATCCCTAACTTTTATCTGTCTGTTTTCACTTGCAACCACTTAAATCTGACTGTTTGCACTTAATAAAGCCGCCCTTGTTTACGATCAAGCCGGGTGTAAATGATGGTTACCTGGAGCGTACAATCAGTGTGCATATTCTCTTGTTGATTGATAAAAAGAGGATGAACATCCTCATGAGCTTTCTTTGTGTAAAACTTTCACTCAGAGGAAAGTGGCTTTACTGGGGGGGGATGGTCCCTTTTAAAGAGTTGGTTTCCTGGGTGCTAAGACAGCTCCCAGAGCTGAAGTGGTTCAGTGTCTGCATTGCTCGGCAGGGGGAAGGGAGGTTACCCCAACTCTGTGCCTTGCCAGGGGGAAACAAAAGGATCCGGTCCAGCAGGACAGGGTGGTGGAGAGCCCCAGAGGGCAAGGCAGCCAGTGTTAGTGGCATGAGTAGCACACCAGGAAACAGCCCCTGGGATCATCTGTGACCACTCCCCATCACATCGCACTCTCCCTCTCCACCTGCCTCTGAGGAGTCACTGCAAGTTTAAACTGAGTTTTCATTTGAAATATGGCAGCAACCCCCAAGGCTATGTCTAGCCTGCAAGCCTCTTTCGAAAAAGAGCGTCTAGACTGCAAGCGGAACTTTCGAAAAAGCAAGCCGCTTTTTCGAAAGAAAGCAGCAAGTGAGTCTGGATGCTCTCTTTCTAAAAAGCCCTGTTGGCATTCAAGAACGCCTTTTTTCGAAAGAGCACTTTCGAAAAAAGGCGTTCTTCCTCGTGAAATGAGGTTTACCGCCGTCGAAAGAAAAGCCACGTTCTTTCGATTTAATTTCGAAAGAACGCGGCTGCAGTCTAGATGCAGATGAAGTTTTTTTCAAAAAAAGGCTACTTTTTTCGAAAAAAACCCCTGAATCTGGACACAGCCCAAGTGAGTCAAAGCTAAAAGAGAAGTGGTTAAAGAATCTCAACAAAGCAGAATTGATTCCAGAGCACTAATGGCAAGACCTCAAAGGCTCACCAAATCCAGGAAAGTCTCACGGGGAGTAGTTACCTCAGTGCTTCAATGATCTTGGATGGTGTGTCCTGGCAGGTATCATTTGACATACTCCTGCACATTAAATCCAAATGTCATGTCAAACATGGAGATCTAAACAACATAAAAGCTTTACACTAAAAATCATCTAGTCCAATCTCGAGGCACGTTTAAAGATGCAAACCGTACAACAAAGAAACAAACCCAGAGGTTTAGCCTCACAACAGAACAAAACAAACCAGGCAAACCAAGGCATAAATGCAAAGGTTGCTAGAATGCTGTGCCATTTCATAGTACCTGTCATGCACTGGAAGTGCACTCAATGGTATCTCATGATTTAGCTTACATTGTATTCATTTCAGACCAATTCTCCAATCTGTCCAGATTATTTTGAATTCTAATCATGTCCTCAAAAGACCTAGCAACCCCTCCCATCTCAGTGTCATCCATTGATTTTGTAGCCATATTCTTGTCTACTCTGCTATCCAAATCATTAATAAAAATACTGAATAGTAGTAGATCCAGTATTGGACCCAGGACAGACCGCTGTGGGATATGGAGGTAAAATTTTGAGTCTATGCAATTTGCATCAACTATTCAATCAATTGATAAGGATGCCTCCATCTTTGAAGTGTGGAAAGAGCTCCAGGGCTGCTGCTACACTTCAAAGGCGAAAACGCTGCGGGGAACACAGGGTCAGTGGGACAGTCCCCTACTGGCCCCGTGCTTCCCGCAGCATTTCAAAGCAGCAGCACCACGTGGAGCCCGGGATCAGCGGGAGACTCCCTCACTGACCCTGAGCTCCCTACGGTGCTGCCGCTTGGAAATGCCGCAGAGAGCCCAGTGTCAGTCTCCTAACGGCGTTTCAAAGTGTCAGTGTCGCAGAGCCCGGAGTCAGCGGGGGAGTCGCTAGCTGATCCCAGGATCCACATGGCGCTGATGCTTTGAACCCCCTCCCCGCACCTCTTCCCTGCCCCTTGCAGCCTCTTTTTGATAGAGACAGCAAGGGGGAGGGAACAACTAGTTGACTACTCTGTTGACTATCCGATAAGCATTTGCTTATCAGATAGTCGACCACTTGACTAGTCGTTCACATCCCTACTGTGGGACCCCATTAGACAGCAAACTATCAATATCTACTCTTCTGAGTCTTTTAACCAGTTTTGCATTCACCTTATAAGGGTATGTCTACACTACCCTGCTAGTTCGAACTAGCGGGGTAATGTATGCATACCGAACGTGCAAATGAAGCCCGGGATTTGAATTTCCCGGGCTTTATTTGCATAAGCCGGCCGGCGCCATTTTTAAATGCCGGCTTGTTCGAACCCCGTGCCGCGCGGCTACACGCGGCACGGGCTAGATAGGCCGGCTTATGCAAATAAAGCCCAGGAAATTCAAATCCCGGGCTTCATTTGCACATTTGGTATGCATACATTACCCCGCTAGTTCGAACTAGCGGGGTAGTGTAGACATACCCCATGGGTTTTATCTAGACCACATTTCCCTCCCTTGCTTAGGAGACTGTCACTCTGTCAAAAGCATCACTAAAATAAAGACACATCATGTCTTCAGCTGCAAATAAAGCCCAGGAAATTCAAATCCCGGGCTTCATTTGCACATTTGGTATGCATACATTACCCCGCTAGTTCGAACTAGCGGGGTAGTGTAGACATACCCCATGGGTTTTATCTAGACCACATTTCCCTCCCTTGCTTAGGAGACTGTCACTCTGTCAAAAGCATCACTAAAATAAAGACACATCATGTCTTCAGCTTTGCCCCATCCTCTCGATCAGTCATGCTGCCAAAGAATCGACCCGAGTGCAACTTCCCTGTGGTCCACAGCCAGGACTAGGCTGGATCCCTGCTGCCTTCCCAGCTCAGGTGCAGAAGGATCGCTCTCCCTGAGCGGTTCCCTTCCCCCTTTGGTCTCTATTGCAGTGACAGGAACAGGAGCTCAGGGCAGGAGCTCCATTCTTGGCACGAGACAAACCGATGGAACCTTCAGGGACAGTGGGAAAGCTTCCCTCTGAGCCGCCGTGTTTTTAAAGTAGCAAATGTGCTGTGCAACTAGATAGATGCTGTAGGATGCTCACAGGGAGGGGGGCATTGATTTTAAGAGTTAATTATTTCTACACTTTGAACTAAAGGGTGCAGTTAGGGTATGTCTACACTAGCCCCCTAGTTCGAACTAGAGACCTAATGAGGGCGACCAAAATTGCAAATGAAGTGCAGGATTTAAATATCCCGCGCTTCATTAGCATGTTCCCGGGCGGTTGCCATTTTGGAAATTGACTAGTCTGGAAGAACTGCCCACGTCTACACGCGGCAGAGAAGGGCGATTCCAAAATAAACCCCTTACTTTGAATTACCAGTTTAACCTCACAGAATGAGGTAATAATTCAAAGTAAGGGGTTTATTTCGGAATTGCCCTTCTCTGCCGCGTGTAGACACGGGCAGTTCTTCTGGGCTAGTCAATTTCCAAAATGGTGACCACCCGGGAACATGCTAATGAAGTGCGGGATATTTAAATCCCACACTTCATTTGCAATTTCAGTCGCCCTCATTAACCTCCCTAGTTCGAATTAGGGGGCTAGTGTAGACATACTCTCAGGCTGTGACAGCCCCTCTCATGTCACTAGGGTTGCACAGGGTGTGACAGAAGAGTCTGCTCCCTTGCTCATTTTTCCCCCCAGCTAGGCTAACACAACGCTGGGGAATCTGCTGCACCTGTAGTAACCTGGATTTGCACCACAGATGTGTATTTCCGTGGATTCATACATATGTATTTGGATAAAGTCTTCTGTAACAATACAGTGCTCCCTTTAATTGTTCCCACCCACATGTGGAATGAATTGTGTTTTTGTGCCCCAATTGTATGTGACACAACATCTTCCTGTTGGTACACAACAAAATTCATGTGGTGGGGTTCAGCCAAGGGGTTCAGAGTGTGGGAGGAGGCTCAGGGCAGGGGTGCGGGCTCTGGGTTGGGATAGGGATGAGGGGGAGCTCAGGGCTGGGCCAGTGGGCTGAGGTGCAGGGGTCTGGGATGCAGATAGGTGCTGTGGAGCTACCGCAGGGAGAGGACTTCCCCAGCTCTTTCTCCTCAAAGCAACACTTGGGGGCTGGGGAGGAATCTCTCTGCTACAGCTGGGGTCACTGAATAGGCACCTGGCCCCAGCAGATCCAGGCTGGGACTGGGTTGAGGCTGGGGAAGGGACACTGCAGCAAGTCCGGGCTCCATGGCAGGTGTCATGGCAGGCCCAGTCCATGAGGGAGCTGGGACTGGGGGAGGGGCACCTGGCTATGGCAGGTCCATGCCAGGGCTGGGTTCAGGACACCCCTTCCCCAACTGCAACAGAACCGTGGACAGATTCCCTGAGCATCTATGTGGTACTAAACCGGCTGGTCAGCACAGCTTGCAGGGAACTTAGACAATAGATACCCAAGGAGTGGAGCGATGGAGACTCTTGCTTAGAAAAGCAATCTACTTACCAAAAGTAGCCAAGGCTAAAAGACAGCACCACGGTGCAGCCCAGGATATGAAAATGCTTTCTTAAATAGCTTTTGACCCATCTTCTTTTCCCTGCAATAAAGGAGATGTGCATGAGACTGGTCCTTTCTGTTCAAAGCAGCATCAATTGGCTGCCAGCCCACTTCCTTTGGCCAGGATGCCTGGCAAGGCTAGAAGTGTGGTTACCGCCCATGGTGGCACGGGAAAAAGCTTTACAGTGGCAAGTGGTAGTGCAAACAGTGCTTGTGAGCAGGCATGTTGTCCTGCCAACAAAGCAAATGCCTCTCATGGCAAAAGTGCTGACAAACAGCCCCTATGCTGCCTGCCTTTTAGCGACAAGGGGTTGTTTCCCCCTTCCCATGAACCAGCCAGTAGAAAGGGCTCAGCCTCCCCACAGGGACATGTGATCAAAACACCTGATGCTGGAATCCATCTTGAATTTGGGACTTTTCCACAGATGTGGGGAGGAGTTGAACAAAGGCCCCATGCCCTTGGGAATTCTACATAAGGCCAGGGAAATAAATAATGGATTGTCTTCAGCTGGCTTTAGACTCTGAATCACCCCAGCCCGAGAAGGTACATGAGAACACCTGGAAACAAAACGACTGTTACTACAGGAGCGGAGAGGAGCTGCTGGACCGAGGTCAGAAAGGAAATCTCTGGCCTGACAAGGACTGTACCTGAAATAAGAGAAATTATGATTTGTAACGAGTCCTCTTAATGTAGTCATCTTAGCATGAACCTGCATCTTAGCAGGTTCCTTTTATTTTGTTTAGTAAACTACACTGTTCTGTGTGCTATCTCTCATGACCACTTAAACCCTGCCTTTTATACTTAATAAAATCACTTCTGTTTATTAATAAACCCAATGTAAACTGTTACCTTTAACAAAGGGCCAAGGGGGAACAGCCATGCCTCTCTCTTTTTCATTGATAAAAGGTGTGAACATTGGTATGAGCTTGCTCTGTAAAACTTTATACCGGGCGTGGGGAACCTTTTTTGGATCAGGCACCACTGACCCACAGAAAAATAAGGAGGAGCGGAAAAAGATCACACATGTGGCCCACAACTAAGATGCAGAAAAAAGGAGACACTCACCTCACTCCTCTCATGCTCCAGACCCACAAGGTGGCAGAGTACTGAGGTTCAGGACTTTCTCCCAGAGCTGGATTAACTTTCTGGGGGCCTGGGGCTCGTAGATTTTGTGAGGTCCCCCCTAGGCTCTGGGGTGTGGTAAAAAATTAGGGTCTCAATGTGCAGAAAGGGGCTGCCTGCGAGCGGCATGGGAGTGAGGAAGCATGGTCTGAGTGGGAGGTAGGGTGCAGGAGTCGGCTGGTGGGGGGTGCAGAGTCTGGCCAGGAGGGAGCAGGCAATTGGGATACCTATCTTGTGCAGCTCGCAGGGGGCATAGGTAACTCCACGCTTTCATACTTGCAGGTACCCCCCACTGCTCCCATTGGCCGCAATTCCTGGCCAATGGAAGCGACAGGGGGTGGAGCCTGCAAGCGAGTGCAGGAACAGAGCTTCCCTGTGTTGCCATGCCAACCCACTTCCTTCCCCATAACCGGCACAGCCCGCAGGCTAGATGAGGCCTGCAGCTTGCCTTGATCCGGTCTGCAAGGCTTGGCACTTTTCCTTCCCACAGCGAGAAGCCAGCCTTCAGCCATGCAGGGGGCTCCCCACTGTAATGCATAGATTGGACATCTAAAAATCTATACAAGGATTTTTTGGAAATGTGATTTTATAAAATTCAGCAACAAATTAATGAAATATTTAAAAGCAAATTTTAAACGGAGATCCTGTAGGCATAGTAATGCACAACTGGTTTTGTCCGTAAATTCAGTGTTGGCACATGCCTGTTTAAAGGCTTCATTGACACTTAATGCAGAGGTGGACAAAATCTGGCCCGGGGCCGGATGTGGCCCATCAAGCATTTCTCTCCTGCCTGCCCAGCTAATCAGCAGAGGTGCATATTTATAGCTGGCAGTGTATGTTCAGCTGTACCTCGCCCCACCTTGCTCCGTCCTACAGCTGAGCTGTTCTCAGGATTCTCCAGCTAGCTGTGCAGAAAGGGAGGAGAGGGAAGGATGGAGGGAGAGGGGAACGCTCAAGTCAGGCTGTCCCCCTGCTCCTGTACAGTAATTCCTCATTTAACACGTGCCTGCTTAACATGTTTTCACGATAGCACAATTTTTTTTTTAGGGAACATTATTTGAATTACACGACCGTCCCTGGAATAACATGATTTCCCCAGCCGGCCAGTTGCCGGTGGCTGTATGGGGCTTCTCCCGCTTCCCTGCAAAGCGGCGGAAGGTTCGCCACTTGCCGCGCAGTTCCCTGCTGACTCCTCCTCGCCGGATGCCTTGCCCCCGCTTGCAAGCTAGTGGCTGCGTTTCTCCAACAGGCCTCTTGCGAGCAGCTGCGTGGGGCTTCCCCCACCTCCCTGTAAAGCGGTGGAGGGTTCAACACTCACCGCACTATTCCCCGGCAACCTCCCCCCTTGCCGGATGCAGTGCGGGTCCCGGCAGATGCGCCACAGGGGCATACTCCCAACCCAATCCCCCTCTCCTCCCCTTCCCTTCCCCAGAGCCAAACACCTCCCCTCCCTGCTGTAACCCAGACCCCTTTCTCCCCCAACCTTATGTCCCAGTCCTAACAGACACCACCACTTGAAATGCAACTCCCACCTTTTCCATTATTTTCAATGGGAAAATTGACCCCGTGTAACATGTTTTCACTTAACACGATCATTTTCTGAAGCACATCAATAGTGTCAAATGAGGAATTACTGTACTCATCTCTGCAGAGCAGGGCTCGGGCAGAGGGAGACACACACACAGTGAAGCTGCTCTAGTCTGAAGTGTGGCTGGTAAGTGACTCAGAGGAGTGCAGAGCAGGGGAGAGGGAAGACAACAAAGCAGGACAGATTTCCCTTAAAGAGACAGTGCATGGCTTCTCCCCGAAACTTACCCAGCAGCTCCTGTGTCACTGTCACCCACACCCCAAGTCTGCACCACACTGTCGCTGTGCCACACAAAGTCACATACACATGGCCGCACACACTCAATCTGTGTCAAAGCCTGTGTCACACACAAGGTGTCTCTCTTTCACACTCACACACTTTGTCTCTCTCTGTAGCTCTCAGCCCTACACCCCTTCTGCCCATCACCCAACCCCTTCAAGGGGCCCAGAGCCAGTGCATGATCATATACCAAAATTCGTGAAATGGTCCTCCTGCGAAAATTATTGCCCACCCCTGACTTAATGGCTCTTTCACAGGTTCATTATTATGCTAATAAGTCTGGCAAGCTGGATGGCTTTTCACTTTTAAGTGAACAGATCCATCTCCGGGGGAGAGTCACCAGTCTGCAAGCTGCCACAGCCTGTTCTGGGAGCTTTCAGGAAGAGTCAGAATAGGGATAGGAAGTGGGGAGAGGTTGAGCATTAAGGCATTGTATATCCTGGCAAGAGGAAAACTCTGCCTACCAGAGCTGCTTATCTGGAGAATATCACCACCAGCAGGCCTTTGGAGCTGGTGTGCATCGAATTCTTGTCTTTAGAAGTAGACAGGAAAAATATGGGGAACATTTTAGTAGTGACTGACCATTATACCCGATATGCACAGGCATATCCCACACGTGACCAGTGGGCCACTACTGTGGCTCAAGTTTTGTGGGAAAGATATTTTTCAGTGTATGGTCTCCCAACTCGGATACACTCTGACCAGGGTTCCAGAACAACACCTTACCACCCACAAGGTGACCTTCAGCCCGAGCAGTTCAATCGGACTCTAATAAATATGCTGGGGACTTTACGCCAGACCAGAAGGCATCCTGGAGCCAGCATGTCTCATTTTTGATGCATGCCTACAATGCTACAAGGAATGCTGCTATAGGGGTCACCCCATACTTTATGATGTTTGGACGAGAGCCGATACTGCCTATAGACATATGCTTTGGAGTATCAGGGGATGGCGAGAGCTATGAGACACGCTTGTAGTATGTCTCCCAATTAAGAGAAAAACTGCAGAATGCCTATCACTTGGCTACTGCGGCTGCCCGAAAAAATGCAGACCATAATAAACACCGATATGATGCGCGAGTGTGCCCGCAGGAGCTCCAACCTGGGGACAGAGTTCTGCTACAAAATTTGGGTGTTGCTGGCAAACACAAGATTGCTGACAGATGGAAGGCAATGCTTTACGTGGTGGTGGAAAAAGTTAGGGTATATCTACACTACCCCGCTAGTTCGAACTAGCGGGGTAGTGTAGACATACCCGTAGAGATCTACCGGTCTACAAGATTAAACCCGAGACTGGGCCAGGGCAAGTAAAGACAGTGCATGGGAACCTTCTGCTGCCTTCAGGAGAATTGGTAGGCGCCCCTTACAAATTGGACCATGACATGGGACCTCAGAGAAAAGGGGGTGTCCGGCCAAGTCAACCACCCATCACGTGTGGTGGGTCCTGTGAAGCTAATCTGCCTCTACCCAGCACCTTTGAGAGTGAATCTGAAGAGGAAAATGATCCCCTGGAGTATATTGGGATGCAGACCAGATTCCAAACTCCATCAGTGAATGCTTTCCCTGGATCTTAGTGCTCAACTGCTCCCCTGTTCCTATCCCTATTCAGACTCTGCAGGCACTCTGAAAGGGGACATGCTGTTTTATTATTGATTGATTGATTGATTGATTATTTTTTCCACGGTGTTTTTTTGGGGGAAAACAGAATTTTTTCCACAGTGTTTTTTTGGGGGAAGGGGGGGGTCCAGTATTTTTGGTTAAACCATCTGGCAACCCTATTTATTTGTGTTGTCTTGTTTTGTGTTTAGAGAAACGGGATCAGACATTAACAGTAACAGCAGCTCCAGCCCCTCCTAACTAACCTTTGCTCTTTCCCGCAACATGCCGATTATTTATGATCATTAATATCATGTAAAAGCTGGCTAGCTCCAATTGGCCATGGAAATCTGCTCAAGCCCGGACACAGGCAGCTCTTTCTACAACTGTCACTCACCTGTCTCCTGAAAACGCTTCCCTGCCCACAGCACCTCAGAGGCAAAATAAATCCTAAGTCAACACTTTTTCAGCAGCAACCATGGAAGCAAGTACCAGTTCCACCACATTTTTAAGCCATTCAACTCAAGTCACACAATCTAGCAATAGATACATTTGGATAACGCCCTGTTCTTTTAAAGAAATAAATGTGTTCGCACTGAAAGCTGGGGGGAGGGGGGAAGGGGAGTTACTTCTGATTATCAGGCACAAAGCCCTTGCTCACCTACGAATGACTGCAAAGTTTGCTGCCTGTACAGCAGGGGCGGGGAACCTTTTTTGGGTCAGGGACCATTGACCCACAGAAAAATCAGTCAGGGGTCGCACACAAGTGAGAAAGCAAAAAATAAACAAACAAACCTCCTCACTGACATGGCCCCTGAGTGAGAAGGAGGAAGACACTCCCCACACACCAGAGCTTACGGGGGCCCAGGGTAGCAGATGTTTGTGTGCTCCAGCTCTGCAGTAGGACTATACAGGGCCTGGAGCACTAGTGCGGAGTCCGCAAAGCTGGGGGCCCCTAAGCCTCAAGGGCCCGATCTAGGCAAGCCGGGGACCGCATCCAGTTCCTCATCTCTGCTGTACAGGAAAAAGTTAGGAATAAAAAACTTAAAAGGCTAAGACACACTCCATTTCATTTCTGCAAAGTGTTAGGCCCTAGAGAATTAGGCCTAGTGCAGTTATGTTAAGACAGATCAAGGAAAGAGGTTAACAAAGGTTTCTGGGTAGTTCCTGAACAGAACAAAACTAGAAATATGGCTCAAGCAAGGGGCAATCCCTACGTACTTGCTTAAGTTGCAAAATAAAGTAAGTGAAAAGGCTGCACCTGTGATGAGAACAGCTAGTTTGAGAACTGATAAGGTAACTCCCTGTTTCTGTTCTCACCCTGATCTTAACGAACTGTCTCTGCCCTCTGTTTGTTTTAACTCCCTGTCTCCTTGTTGTTTGGTACTTGCCTTCTAGGCTGATAAGACAGCTGTTGACGCATTATGAATTGCTTAAGGCCATGAAGTATACGCATTAACACTAGAAGCTTCAAATTAATTAAGGGGGGGCTGAGATGCTTGGGCAAATGTTTTATGACGCGACGGAACTGTCTATATAATCTTACTTGTTACTGAAATCAGGGCTGGTTCCCTTGGGAGACGGGCCGCTCTCTATTGTAGTGCGCACTATTCAATAAAGAGCTTGTGATTGGATCTTGCTGGTGTTGCCTGTCTCTTTGCGGTCAGACAACGAACGGAGGCCGTCCAGGTTAAAGTCCCTGACAAAAGTATCTGATTTCAAGGAACAATCCCTGAGGGAAATTCCAAGGCAACCAACCGCCATGTCATTCTCTGTAGCAATTTAAGCATTCAAAAGGAGGATATGATATGAGAGAGAGAGAGAGAGAGAGAGAGAGAGAGAGAAATTCAGTCTTACAAAAGATACTGGATCATGCATATTTAGTTCACATAAATTATCAAGAATCAGGAGATGGAAACATTTTTCAGTGTCAGAGGCTAATTCTTAAACATAAATCGTTCTCTTTCATAAAATGCTTTTCTCTGGAATGAACCCAGCTTCAGGAAAACATACTGGCTACTGACTTTCCCTGAAGAAAACTGAAAACTGTAATCTGAAGAGGAAAGAAAGGGAGACTTAGCAGACTCTAGAAACTCTCGCTCATGCAAGCAGTCCTAATGGAAGCAGCTCCAATGACTTCATCGGTGTGACATAATGAATTGCACAATCAAGTTGGAGTTTTAGATTCGTGCTGCCATACCGTTACACTCCCAAACGGTGAGTTTCTGCTACATGCTGAATGCAGGGAAGGCTGCACATCTAGCTAAGAGCCTGGGATTTTTGTGCGTGTTAGATTTTCCATGAAAAATACAGATCAACTCAGACAACGGGGAGAGCAAAATAAAAGTGTTTTTTACATCTGATAGAAAGCCAGTGCAGTATTTTCTATCATGTGCTTATTGATAATCTTCCATAGTCCCCAAATAGACCACAAAGTATGGGCCCCATCCTGTACTGACTGAACTTCCATGGTCTTTTGTGGGTCATGACTGAGCCCTATATAAATTAGTAGAACCCAGCATTGCTTCGGTCCTTAACTCAATTTTTGGTTTTTTTGGAAAATAAAATGAAGGGGAACAGCCAGCAATGTTCCTGTACGAATGGGAGGGGAAGCTTCAGCTCCCCGAGCCATCCCTAAAGTACACCTGGGGGGGAGGTCAAGGCTAGGGCAGTCCCGGACCGGGGGGAGGACGGACCCCTAGACAGCTCCTTGCACCTGCCTGGGGATTCTGTCTCTTTTTTGCATGGTTTTATGAGAAGCAATCTCATTCCAGACACATCCCATTTTCCTGGCACAACCAAAGCCTGACGTTTCAAATTAGGATACAATGAAGCTGCATTGAGAATTTGGTGTTCCTCGTTCTTACTATTTAGAGCAAACAGACAGAGAAACTCTCTCAAACATATAATGGATATACATAAATGCATGCAGGTAAAATGCACAGGAACAAATTCTCTCCCCCATTACACGGGTGTGACTTTACAGGGCTGATATGCAGGGCTGCCTTCTACTTTCTGCATTACTGGGAAGAATTTGGCCTATAGGGAGAAAAATTAACTCTCGGTCTACAACATACGTATACACTATGTATCAAAAGTATTTCTTGCTCCCATTCCTCTGTGGACAAATAATGAAAGTGCTTGAGAGCAAGGGAAATATGGAAAAGAAAGAGGAGACAGAGAGACAATTGGGAAAGGGATACAGAGGAAAAAAGAGGAATGGAGTATAAAACATGCATGCGTGTCCTTGACTTCCCTCTTCTCTAGATACAGATGTGAATTTGATTCAATTTCTGCAAGATACTGAGACATGTATTGTTCTGGTATAACCTCTAGTAAGGGTCTAATTCTGAATTCAGCTATCCCAGCATAAATCAGATCTAAAAGAGCCAGCAGAATTAATCCAGAACTACCTTGGTGTAGCCAAGAGAAGGATATGACCCTAAATTAATAGTATATTGGTTTGTCTCACGTATTTATCTGCTACTTTAAAGTTCTTTCCCCGCATTTAAAACATGGTCTCCCTGCAAACCCCACACCTGTTGCGTTCTTTCAAAAGATAAACAGGATTAGACATGACACAGCTCATAGAACATATTAAAGGAAATTTACAGGTACCTTTGTCTTTGCGCATTGTGCACTTGATTACTTCCACACAGGAATGAGTGTGAGGAAGAAGGAATTAGGGAGTTTATTGCTGAGAGTTGTTGACTGGAGCAGCCTTCAGTGGTCAGCATGCACCAAAACTTCTGAAGTTTGCAAGCAGAGGGCAGCCTATGAGAATTCACATGCTGTGACGCAGTCTAATTCTCGCTCACAGAAACTCTCTCCTGGCCCAGGCAATTCAAGTCAGGAAGAAGTTGCTTGGGTATGGTAATTTTCACCACATCTATGGCCTAGAGCAGGGCTATTCAACTTTGGAAGCCCCGCGGGCCACAATGATACTCACAGCACATGCCGAGAGCCGCAACTTAAGTGTGGTTGCAGATACACTGACGGGCATGAATACAAAGATAAAGGCAAGACTACACGCAGTGTTTTTTTTGTGATGGTACTGCCTGGTACACAGTACCGGCACCTCTGGACGCAGTAACCAAATAGCTTCTTTCACACTGACAGTCATGAATAGAAAGATTAAGAAAAGACTACACAAAATGCAGGCCCCATTTAAGTCAGTTCTGTTGATATAAATAAAACGCAATACCCTTAACTACTAAAACACGTATCAACAGAAGACCAGTATGTTGACTACTTTTTTGTTTGGCTCCCACCCGTGTGTTGAGCCCCGTGTAAATCCGAACCACGCCGCAGGCCAGAAACAAATGCGCTGTGGGCCGCATGCAGCCCATGGGCCATGTGTTGAGTAGCCCTGGCTTAGAGACACTCTGTGGAAGACAAAGCATATCAAGCCAGGTTGGGGGTGAAGGCAGAGCCAGATTATCCATTAGGCACAGTGCCCAGGGCCTACAAAAAAGTTTAGGGCCTATGAAAAGTTTGGGGCCTAAAAAAAAATCATAAGTGACTTGAACATAAGAAAAGAAAACTGCTAAATAAAACTTAATAATTTGCTATCTTTAGTCAACAAACTACATTCAGGTTAAGGATGTTAAGGACTAGTCAACTATCCGATAAGCATTTGCTTATCCAATAGTCTGTCAACTAGTCGATCTCCTTCTCCCCCCCCCCCCCCCCCCCTGGGCTCCTTTCACCTCTGGA